AGCTTTGAATTCCTCCTTACATGATCTCCCTACGTCAGCTTCAATCGCACGTGCCCAACTCGTCGTTACACCTCCGGGTTCTACCAGAGGACCTGTAAAGAATGTGTCTCCTCAGAACAACATGTTCAGTATATCAACATCTCCTCTTCAGTATATTTCTTGGGCGATAGGTTCCTGGTTGGCAAACCTTTCCTCCAACCGGCCAGTCATCTGATCTTCTCTACATGAGGACAAAGAAAGGCAGCTGTTGATTAAAAGTCTGCAGTAGTGTATTGCAAATGCTTTTTGACGACGCTCGCATCAAGTTTCTGAAATATACAGAAGCTCTGACTGGCTTGAGATTAGTGTTGAGAATCCGAATCTTGCTGCTTATACTGAGTGAAGAAGATTTCCACATGGATTTCAGAGTAATGAACTCCTGTCTTGCCTTTCCAATCCTGATTGGTTTCGACATCCTCATATGTACCGCCTGTAGTTGAAAGAATTTCGCTAAGAGGGATAGCTTTCATTATGTTTCTCCCATTGGTGATGATTAGTACCTATTATTATTGGTTAGGTATCTTCACTACTTCTCCTGGACCGACGTGAAGAACCTAGAAGACCTGGATTTCGCGCGTGGATGATTTATGTTTGATGTCACACAAAATAGAAGACTTACAAGCGAAAACCGACAGGACTGCAGGTGAACATAGACAAGATGGAGGTCATGAAAATAACCAACCAACCAACAACAACAACAGCAACATCTAACGCCAATCACCATCAACGGAAGGGATTTGAAAGAGGTTACTTCATTCACTTGTCTAGGGAGCATCGTCTCAACTACAGGCATTCGGAACGGACGAGGATGTCAAATCGAGGATCGAGAAGGCGAGAAACACATTCATCAACCTGAAACCAATCTGGAAATCTTCGTCACTCAGCCAAACTCAACAACAAAATTCGGATTTTCAATACAAACGTCAAGTCAGCCAGTTTTTCTATACGGATCAGAAACTTGGCGGGTCACAAAGAATATTTCCAACAGCCTGTTGCAGACCTTTACCAAAAACTGTCTTCGCTTTATACTGAAGATCAGATGGCCGGAAAGAATCACCAACAAGAAACTATGGGAACAAACAAAACAAGAACAAACCAATCGCTCAATAAATATGCAGGAGAAAGTGGAGATGGATTGGACACTCGCTGAGAAGGCCGCTGGGTGACATCGCGCGTCAGGCCAGTGCTCGAGTGAAATGCGAAAGGGAAGCGGCGAGTGGGACGTCAGTGCAAGGGTGACATGGAGGAGATCGTGTGAAGGGGAGTTGAAACAGTATGGACTATCATGGATGCAAGTGAAAAGTACAGCAGAAGACAGAAGCAAGTGGAGACGTGCAGTTGAAGCCCTATGTTCCACTAGGAACCCAAGGGAACAATAATAATCTTCACTACTTCTGTTTTCCCTACAACTTCTGTAGACTTGTGAATTTCGTATAATTTTTCTAAGTATTTATATAGATGATTCCGAGTGAGCTGAGTAATACGAAGGTCAATTATATTGTTGTTCCTAAATGATCACTCAATCGAAGGTTACCCAGTTTAATAATAATTTCTATACATTTATCTTTCTGATGTAGGTGTGTTCTCTGAGCTGGGTGGTTTATTTGCCAAGCTTTCATTGCTCACTACTAGGCAACATCCTGACCTCAGTGCATACTTCAATTTGTTGAAGTGAGCTTTTAGATTTCTCCACGAGTTTGTTAGTCATCTCTCCTGGTCACCTGACCTTGAAAATGATTGGTTGTGTTTTGTGTACTTCCACACCCTCTCGGGGCTACTTGTATTGGAACTGATTGTTTCCTTGACCTGAATCTTGACCCATTGTGTGTGAGATTTCCTGCTATTCGATAGGTAAATTTTGTATATCTCGATGTGTTTATTAACTGACGATTGATTCACAGGAATAACAGGCTGGCTTCTGAAAATTCTCCAGCATTCTTGGTGTTTCCTCTGTCTAATATTTGAACGTTGTCTCGGCCGAAATGATATCCGTGGCCGAAGGTCACCAGGAGAGATGACTAATAAACTCGTGGAGAAATCTAAAAGCTCACTTCAACAAATTGAAGTATGCGCTGAGGTGAGGATTTTGCCTGGTGGTGGGGCTATGAAAGCTTTGCAAATAAACTATCCAGCTCAGAGAGAACACAGCTACATCATAACTATCCACATGGGCTACAAGTCTTCTCCATCATATCTATATGTCTGTCTCTATATCTCTATCAGCTGATGGATCATCAGCTAAGCATTCTATTGGTCAGATACTCGAGTTATTTTTAACAGGTGAAAGTTTCATTAAAAACTGAATAATTGACTTTTACTATCTCTTTTGTATTTATCTCTTTACGTTCCCAGTGGAACATACGGCTTCAATTTAGAGGCTTAAAGTTTCGGCAGCAGTAGTGTTTATTTTTACAAGATGAGGTTGCTAGCCTCATGCCCAACATTTCCTCTTCACCAGTCTTATTACTGGCTTAACGAGGTAAAGATGTGCGTCGGCCGGGGATCGAACCCTGGACCACCTGCATGGCTGACGAGCATCCTATCACTGTGCCACCGATGCACACCTCTTTTGTAGTTGTGGTAAATCCTCATTTAGTTGATGATGACTACAGTTATAAACTAATCAATACAGTCTCTTTGTTATTGTTACTGTGGAAGATCTGATATAATGGGTTGACTTTCGCCGAATATACTAATTCCTAATTCCTCATGAAATGAATATTCATGAACATATTGATAGTAGACGGTTGGAGGCAATCGGCCACAGGACACCTTGCTTGACCTAGGTTTCGTGCATGTTGGCACTCACAAGTCAGCAAGGCGTATCTGCGATCTTGAAGGAACTCAGTTCATTGGTAACGTCTCTGATTGCAGCCCCACTGGGTGAAGCGGGCTCGAATCTCAGAAGGGACATGAGTTCCTTCGAGGTTGCAGATACGTCCTCTGCTGACTGACTTGTGAGTGCCAACTAGCACGAAACCTAGGTCAAGCAAGGTGTCCTGTGGCCGATTGCCTCCAACCATCTAATACAAACGATTCAAAGTGCACTGTGATGGCGAGCCACCTAATGGCATGGTGGCCACATTGCAACCTTCACTGACGATAGATATCAGTCTGCACCAAACAGAGGACTATAGACATTACACTAGTTACTGACTAGTGCCCAATCATGCATACATTATTAGATAAATAAGATTTGAGCATTTCAACTTAACCTTTTTGGATGCTTAATGATATTTGCTAGTTAAATCCTTATTCTTATCTCAATAATTGGTAGCATTGCAAATACGTATTACTGGTTGGACTATGAGTCCAGCGACAGACGTTTCCATAGAAGTTCTTTTTTTTATTCACTCCTTCATGTTTTGAGTGGAAAGTAGGACTTCAAGATTTGAAGTTTTAAGCAGCATTGAGGATGTTTTCTACTTTATGGGATGCGCTGAATAGCCTAACGCTTAGAATTCTGCCTTCTCTGGGCTAGTAAGGGGTTAAGGAAAAATATGTCGGCCTAGAATCGGGCGCGGACCTCCCACGCGACTGGCATTGTTTTTTAATTCATATTTATATTCACTGTTTTTGAATATGCGGTTTAGTTTACCTATAAAATATTTCAAGAGACTTTCATGTGCAGGTAGGTGTCAGGAGCTGTGATATTATTATTATTGTTATTAAAATCGACTAAAAGTACAAATTTGGTACATTTTGAGCATCAAGAAATGCGCCACCCAAAAACAAATGAAGGAGGTCATCCACAAAAAGCAAGTAAGCATTCTAGTCAAGATCATTCAATACCCGTCACTTAATGTTATATTCAGAAAGGGAAGAAAGAAGGAAATTACAGCGTGTTTGCCACTGATTACAACGACTCGTGGCTATATGTGATAGCGTCTTGATCCACCGATCCATCAGCAACAGGGATCTCTGGGAGAAAACCAACCAAGAACCAATTGTGAAACAAATATGCAGGAAGAAATGCAGTTGGCGGATTGGCCATACTCTTAGGAAACCATCAAGTGACATCACAAGGCAGGCCATCTCTCGAGTGCAACCCGAAAGGGAAGCGGCGAGTTGGTCGTCACTGCAAGGGTTACTTGGAGGAGGTCATGTGAAGAGGAGATGAAAGCGTATGGGCAGACTTAGAGCCAGGTGAAAACTCTAGCAAAGAACCGAACGCAATGGAGACGCGCGGCTAAAGTCCTATGTTCCTCTAGGAATTAAAGGAGATAATAATAATAATCCCATTAAAAGAGCGATTCCGTAGCAACGGATGTAAATCTAACACAGATATCCTTCATCCTTTGGCGTTAAAACCGCCTTTTCCATCCATCGGCAATAAGAGCTTCTTGGATAACATTCATACCACATTTCCAAGCTGACAAAGTTGGTGCTTCAAGATGACCATACTCAATGAATGATGGTTTCTATCGCGGGCCTCAGAATTACTCACACAATAATACTATAGGACACAAGTAATTCCACGAAGGCAGATTCGTCTCCCATCCCCAGCTCGAGGAGGTCAGATTTCACACGAGTAGAAGAAGACTGAGAGTACCAAAATACTGCAAACCCAACCTTTGACAGACAGGCTTTCGACACAACAGCTCCAGAGGTGTCTGAAATCGAGACTTTCGAAGGTAACAGCTAGTTTCCATCAATATTCATTTACTCACTAACACACTTCATTACTTGAAGTTTCTTTTAAAAAAATCAACAGCAGCAGCAACAACGACAACTTATCTACGCATAATTTTCAAGTCAAAAAAAAATTATTATTATCAGTAAGATACTTAAGATAGACACAAGCAAAAGAAATGTCAAAAATGCATTCTGTTCATTCATTATCAAACAGTCACATAAAAATATGATTTTAAAACGCACAAAATACGCAAGACACATACACACAGGCATATAATACGCAATTGCCGATAATAAAAATTAAACAAAAACACGTACGTACGTACAAGTCTATAAAATCTGTTCAAAAATTTTATCACATCTTTGTTACAATTATCTGCTGCAAAAGAAAACAAAAAACAAAAAAAACAAGAGGGAATTTTAAATGTTGGGAAACGCGCGCGAAAATTTGTTGTCTCTTTTATTAAAAAAACAAACAAAATAAAATGATGAAAGTTTGTACACATGCTAATTGAGAAGGATCTATCGATTTTTGTTTAAATCATTTGGCAATCGAATTATTCAAAGAGCATATTGCGCGTCACATTTACTCACAAGTATACTTTGTTTTAACCAGCTGTAAATTTACGTCCTGTACTCACGTGGGGATTTTTCAATGGCTTTCAACATACCATATCATGGTATGTTTTGAAGTGATAAACAGGTTAGATGTCGGAAGGAGTGTGTTGCAAAGAATGGTATAGGAGGAAGTAAACAGCTGTCCAGTACTCCTAGGTTCTGCGATGCTCCTCTGTCTGTCTGTCTGGATTCAACATAGAACTTGGCACCGAAGTGCAGCAGTTCGAGTGAGAAAGGCGAAGGAGATGGAAAAAGCAACGGCGATAGGCAACTCTTTAGACTCATCAGGGAAACGGGTGGGAGAAGGCAAGTCATAAGTGAGATTATTTCTGAGAAAAATGGCTCCTTAATTAGCTCTCAGGATAGACGCCTCGAACGCTGGAAAGAACACTTCGAGGAACAATTTAACTTGCCTACAGCCACACTGAGCCTCCCCGCCATCCAGCACACACCAGAATGGGATATAGACACTGGCCCGCCGTCTGTAAGTGAGGTCACCAAAGCTATCTGTAATTTGAAACGAGGCAAAGCGGCAGGACCCGACGGAATTATTCCGGAGGTGTTTAAATATGGGGGTGACATACTAGTATATAGTTTAACTAAGGTACTAGGTAACGTCTGGGAATCAAAGACGGTTCCATCAGACTGGGGTAAGTCACTTATTATACCAATATTCAAGAAGGGAGACAAGTCCTCATGTGATAATCATAGAGGAATCAGCCTAATGAACATAGTCTCTAAAATCCTAGGCTCAGTAATCATGAACAGACTAAGCCGAACTCGGGAGGAACAAACGAGGGAAAATCAAGCGGGCTTTAGGCCAGATAGAGGGTGCACAGATCATATCTTCACTCTCCGACAGATCCTAGAACATAGACACACTTTTAGGCGTCCAACAATTGCCATATTTCTTGATTTGAAGGCGGCCTTCGACTCCGTGGATGCTCCTCTAACCGATGTCAGATCATGGTGGAATCCTGTAAGCAATCAAATCGAATCCTTGTAAACCGACACTTGAATATCAATATCTGACGCTCACTAGTGACTGACCCTATTCAGCTAAGGTTTTAGTGAGAAGTCATGACTGGCAGTGGGGGACAGCAGGTCGGGTGTAAGGACAAATACTCGCCACGGATGAGATTGGCTAATGGTAGCACTATATCGAGAGTTGGCAGAAGTTGGAATTCATGGACTGGCCATTGGATAGGGCCCCAGAGGCTTACTGGTCTACAAGCTCGCCCTATAACCGAAAGGTCCTAGGTTCGAACCCCGGCGAGTGTGTACCACTGAAGAGTCCGCAACTAGGCCGACGAAATAGCTGTCCAGTACTCCCAGGTCTTCCAGTGTTATCTCATTATGAAATTCTGTGACCAATCAAATCAATTTCTTGCAAATTAACAAGTGATATAAAGGAATTCACTACTGTATATATAAACATGTTGTTTAAAATAAAGCTATTACTGTTATATTATTAAAAATTGAAAATCCCAGTAAATCTCTGGTCCTTGCGGATCCAGAATCCGGTTGTAATACACATGTGGATTGATATGAAATGTTATTTGGCTAATAAGTCTAAACGAGGAACACTGTGTCGCCTTGAACACTTACTACCGGGGAGAACTGGACAGCTTTTTCGTCCTACTCCAAGAGTTTTCATCTGTACGCACATCAGGGATGAGACCCAAGACGATATTCAGGTAGGTTACAAGGCAAGATTGTTAAACATTCAGTCACTTGGATGGAATCTAATGGCCCATGAATTCTAACTTCCGCTGTTTCGAGATACATAACGGGGACGCCGAGTGACAGAAGTTAAAATTCATAGGCCGCTGGATTCCATCCCAGTGACTAAATGGTCGACAAGCTCACTCTGTATGCTTGAAGGACGTGGGTTCGGTCCTTTGTGTGATGAGTGCCTACTGATGAAAAGTCGCGAACCGGGACGAAACAACTCATCAGTACTCTCTAGTTTTCAATGATTCTCTAACTGAAGTCAGTTCGTGGTTGATCCTGGAACCAATCAAGTCCCCGCCAAACAAAGTTTGATGACTTATCTCTGTATCTTGGTTTTCATATCCAATTCATTAGACATGCAGTGGATAGTTTAATTGTCTTCCTAGACAGCATCTTTAGTGCTGACTAATTATTCTAAGGAAACGTTTTAAAAGATTCCAGCAATTTAAGATTTTTAGCTTATACATGAAATCATCAATAATTAATTACTGCACTTCATATTTATTTTACTATAATGTAAACGAAGTATTTATTGATTTACTTATTGGGTTATAAGTAAGACCAGGGAACACTGAACTGTTGTTTCGTCCTAGTTTGGGACGGCGTCTGCACATTATGCACACATGGAAGCTCGAACCCGGGGCATTCTGGTTACACGCCGAGCTCGTAGACGATTCAGCCACTAGGACCAGAACTTGCCCTGTAACCGAAAGGCCCTGGGGTTTGAGTCTCAGTATGTGTGTATACTGCTGAAAAGTTCAGCACTAGGACGAAACGGCAGTAGAGTACTCATTGATCTACCAGTGATTCTCTGAGTGAACATGTCAACGTCAAAGCGAAACAGAAAGGTGAAGAACAAGCAGATCATATGATGAAAATCATTCAACATAAACATTAAAGCAAATATAGCGGACTATAAACTGCTTTACAATAAATTGTGTGAAACAGCTTTCGCTAGGTAATTCTCTTTAAGCAAAACATTGGCATAAAACTCCTCAATTAATAGAGTAAACTGCTGCTCACCAGTCCAAGATTATTTCAGTTAACTGTAAGACAGTGAAAAGTACATTCATATACATAAAAGATGATATACAAAACAGAATTTCATCCCGATACATAGACAGATCTGATGTTTGCAAGTAAAGATTTACAGAAATTCAACCGACAGGTAACAAGGTGTATTAGCTATGTTATTTCTGTCCTCTTTTATGACTGTGAGACCTAACCATTGAAAGTGGAAGACATCAAAAGCGTGGTTAGCAGTCTTTCATCAGAGGGGTCTGCGTTCTATCTCCCGTGTGAAGTGGTATAATAAGGTGAGCTATATTAAGGTTTGACTTTGGTCGAGTGCCAGTCAGGTAAGAAGGGAAATCAATAGACGAGGCTGTGAAGTTGCATCAACATGTGTTACCTATGCCTAGCCATCCGATTCCTCGATGGGTAGTGTTATCTGAAATAGGATGGATGGATGGAAAAGAGCCAGTGGTGATCAAACCAAAACATGGCCTCACCAGTCAATCAAATCCACAACGGTTAGTTTAAGCCAGTCACGTAGGAAGGTGTAGACTTCCTGATTAGTTGGGGTCTTCGGGATGGTAAAAACTAGTGGATGGAGATAATTGATGATACGGCTCGAAATCGTTCTCAACGCAGATGCATCCACCTCTTGTGACTTATAATATCCAGTAAAACTATATTGTTCTTCGATATTAATATTCTCTTTGCCTCATATCTCTATTTAATGTCTTTGTTTTGTATTTCTTTTTATTTTCCTTTCTTGCTCTGTTTGCTACATGGAGTGTGGTGATTTGAACTGGTGCACGTCAGTGCAAAAGTTCTATTTTGAAAACAGACAGACAGATTACGGCAACAATTCATCAGATACGTTAGCAGAGAGAAGTAAACTAAATTCTTTCATGTGAAAAAAGCTCCAACTAGTAATGCGGCATTTTATATGTAAGTAATATATAGTCATCATTCTGATAGTAGACGACTACATACAATGTAGTAGATAAGTAAAAGTTATCTTTAAAATACGCAAAATACTAGAGACAGATAACAGTAGTGTTATTACATAAGTGATGATTGATTTGTGAATGACATGTCAAGAATAATAAAGCATTATGTGTTTCATACTAATTTTAGTGGTGTTTTTGCTGTTGTTGGTTTTTAAAGCCTCTTTACAAATAACACTGTAATAATCACAAAAACTTAAATTCTAGTAATCTATAATAAACAATCAAAATGTGTCTGCATTGAAAATGATTTCTACTGGCGGCAGACATGTATAATCAAATCACCCGCCCCCTCAAAATATGCGTTCAGTAAAACAAAAATTGATAACAAAAAAACAATATCAGACCTTAGTGTTAGACATCATTCTCACAAAAAGACGCAAACCCTTAAACCCCCCCCCCCCAACAAATGCTTGGAAGTGTACTATGAATGAGAAGTATACAGTCGAACTATACACATGTACCAGTGTATAATCTGTAATTCAGTACTTCAGACAATAAGTTTCCCTCTTCATACAACCGGTTCCTTTAATTAGTTTGAAAAATGAGCGATCATATTTGCAAGATAATACAGAATCTTCTATAGTCGGTTTGTAAGGATTAGTTTCGTTTTTACGAGTTGATCCCGGGTTGATATCAGTTAGAGAACCATTGAAAACCAGCCAGGGAGTACTGGGCAGCTGTTTGGGAATCATAGACAGTACGCACCCACCAACAGGGTTCAAACCCAGGACCTTCCGGTTACAAGGCAAGCTGGCTCGTATACCATTCAGCCACTGGGACCCGATGATACCCAAACTAGGACAAAACAGCTGTCCAGTACTCCATGCTGGTTTTCAATGGTTCTCTAACTGATATCAATCCATGATCAACTCATAATACAGAATCGTTTTATATTTCATGAATTCGTATCAACTGTATCCAATCTTAACAATATCAAAATATGAGTTATATAAAGGCCTGAACGCAATACATTCATCATAATGACATCAAGTTATCCATAGAAAGTATAAGCAAGATAACTCCGAAATGATGTAGGTAAAAAAATTATTTAGTTTTCAAGAGTTGGTTCTCAGGGATTTCATTGGTTACAGGTTTGCTGACGACCTGGCATCCGTTAGCGAACTATTGGAAAACTAGGGAGTACCAGATAGCTGCGTTCGTCCCAGTTTGGGACTCTTTAGCAGTATGCACCAACTGGGACTCGAACCCGGTTAGAAGTGATATTATGTGATATAGACAAACAATTCGGTAAATTTGGAAATTCAGTAAGTGAAAATCAAAATTGGGTAGAGTGTTACGCAACAGAAATAAACACAAAACTCACACAGATAAAACAATTTCGAATATTTCTATCACAAAAGTAGATAAGTATCCTGCTCCTGTCAACTCTAACCGCATTTACCAATTTACTTACACTTGTATTAGCAAGTACATAGGAAGGACTGAGAGGATAGCATACTACTGGACGTCTTCGTATTAAAGATAGGAAAGTGCAATTGTCTGACACCTGATTGATACAGTGAAGATTAGTCAAGTTCTCGAAATAATCAATAAACACAGGAAACCTTCATTACTTCGTATCGCAGAAGTCATAGGCATCAAAATATTTCAACCAAACCTCTGTATGCAATAAGATAGCGTGACTAACTTTTGGATACCATAATGGTAATTGTAAATGTTCTACCTGTGTGAATTTTGTATTTGCTTCTGCTGCTGGCTGGCTAACACTGTACCTAATTTTGGTTTTCACTTATATTGAGTTGAACTCACTATTCAGTTTCCCAAATTACCTGACTGTTTTGTCTATGTCATAATTTTACTTTTACTTTCCATTCCTACCAGCTCAAACTTTCCATCATATTATATACATAAATTTATTCTTTCGTTCGATTTTTTATCCTATCTTTAGTCTATCCTTGTTTCCATACAAAAGTTGCACTCTGCTCCGAGCTCCCTAGTCTAGTTAAACCACAAATTTTCAGGTGATGGTTTGCAGGGATTTGATTTCATTGGTTACAGGATTTCATAATGAGCAGAAATCGGCTCGTGGACCATTGGAAAACCAGCAGGGAGTACTGGACGGCTGTTTCGTCCGCCTAGCCTGGGACTCTTCAGTGGTACGCGCTCACCGGGGTTCGAACCCTTGACTTCCCTCTTAAAAGGAGAGCTTGCAGAACATTAAGCCACTGGCGCCTGATCCAGTGGCCAGGCCATGAATTCCAACTTCTGTCAATTCACGACATAGAGCGACTGGCACTAGCCAATGTCATCGGTGAGTATGATTCGCTAACTGATGTCAGCTGATGATGAAATCCTGTAACTAATATACCATGAATAATAAACCCTTTTAACGTTGAATAATGTCTGCTAACATCATTTCGCAATTATGTTGCTTATACTTTCTATGAATAGCACGAAGTTACTGTGATGAATGTATTATGTTTGAAACTTTTTAAATTTATACTTTGATATCGTTTAGGTTAGATACAATTGACAAGAATTCATGAAATATAAAACGACTTCAACATATCCTGCAAATATATATTCATTCTTTCTTCGTTCAAAATGACTTTTATTGACCTACAGTCCCACATTAAAGTTGCCTATGAATGCCTTATTCATATATATATATATATATATATATATATATATATAAGGCATTTAGAAGACAAATTTCGCGAGATGATATCATTTTTTGAAGTGGACAATATCTTCCTTTCACCAGTTTTGTTCCTATCCAGTATAAACGTTCCCTAGTGAAATGTTTGTTCTCAAGGGCCCGAAAAATATTCACGAGTAACACATTGATGGATGAGCTTCGGAATATGCATTCAGTTTTATTAGCTAGTGGTTATCCAGAGAATTTCATCACTTGTCACAATAAGGATAGACCACATCTCGAAAAGAAAGCTATCTTTATTAACCTACCATTCAAGGGTGACCAGATTATGCAGTTGACAGCTCAGAGACTTCGGTCAGCCATCAAACGCACATTCTACGCCACCACATCTCTTTTTCTCACATGCCGAACATTTTCGATCCCTATACCTACGATTAAAGGACGAAATTCTGTGGACTCTACTTCAAACTGTATCTACAAGTTCACCTGCAGCTGCGGTGACACCTATATTGGCAGAACCAATAGAATGATCCAATGTCGTCGACAAGAACATGTTTCAAAATGGATACTAAATCATATAGAAAATCCCAATGCAGTTAATCTGAATAGAAATCCAGCATCATCCATTGCAAAACACTTATTAATGTCAGGTCACAAAATCAATCAATGTTAATGACTGTTTCACAATTATTTCACCACATAACTCTAATTCAGGGTTGGTTATTGAAGGTGATGGAAGCAATTTGGATTAATCACATACAGCCTAAACTGTGTGTACAAAAAACAATAGACTTCAATCTTCGCCTACCATGGACTACATGACCTATTTAAATATGATTGGTCATTAATATGTACTTTTGTTTTTTATTTAACTGAGTCATGAACTTTATTTTATTCTATTATTGTTAACCATATTAGTTGTAAAGAAACTACGAAATGATATCATCTCGCGAAATTGGTCTTCTAAATGCCTTGTTCAAATTTATCAAACGGACTAATTGTTTTAATATATACAAAGAATTGGATACCGAATTTCGTCGCAGTCCAGGTCATCGGTCGAGTGGAACCCAAATTGGAAACGACAAGTGGAGCATCTAAGGGGGACATGGGGAACATTGTGTGAAGAGGAGATCAGAGACTATGAGCAATCGTAGGGCCATGTAAAGAGGACCACCACCACCACTGAGAACAGGACAAAGTGGAGTTGTGCTGTTGAAGCCTAATATTCCACTTGGAACGCGACGGAACCATAATAACAATATACAAACAATTGAATGCCCTGATTATGTGCACCTGTCACCTAGAAAATAAATTCACTAGGCCGTCTAAAGCATCCACATAAGGCATCAAGCTTGAGCTTTGACGTTTCAGTAGCAGTGGTGCTATCTTTTAGTTTTTTCTTCACCCTCAACCTTCCCATTTTACCGGGCTGGCCCCGGACCACGTGAGGCATGGTTGGCACGAGTATCTCACCACCATTGAACAACCACCGACGCCCAAAGTAACCACACAGGTAAACAATACACATTTAGAATTTAATTGGCGGATGGTGACTAGCAGTGGAATCCAGTCAGGATGCGCGTTTCGTCCTATTTGGGACCCGTCAGCTAACTGGATGTACCTGCATTTCCCAGTGAGTGATGATGTTCCCACCGAGGCTCGAACCCAGTTCCCATAGTTTCAAATGCCAAAGCGCCATCCACTAGACCACTTGGGCCACCTCTTGTGCAACGGATCATATTGGTTATTTAATTGAGTTTTTTAGATTTTTCCGTCGATTGATTGGACCGAAGTGCTCTGTTTCAGGTTGAAATGTCGGCTTCTCGTGCAGATGCTTCGATAGCGCTTTGGCGTTTGAAACTATGGGCACTGGGTTCGAGCCTCGGTAGGAACATCATCACTCACTGCGGAATACAGGCACACCCAGTTGGCTGACGAGTCCCAAATAGGACGAAATGCGCATCCTGACTGTATTCCACTGCTAGTCACCATTCATGCCCAGATATCGTCGAAGCATCTGCACAAGAAGCCGACATGTCAATCTGAGATCGAGGACTTCGGTTCAATCAATCGACGGGAAAATCTAAATAATTCCATTAAATAAATACACATTTAGTTCAGGAATAGACAGGAAAAGCACAAATACTTTTGCATCAGTATGAAACATTTTAAAATAAAAATCAATAAATCAATCACCTAGTTCTAAAAGTTGATTTCGACCGAATATTTGAATTAAATCATCTTCGATTTTCACTGAATTCACTTTTACACCAAACTCTGCAGATTGTGAATTTTGAGATTTTGCAAGATCTGTAGGCATTGAATTAACACTTGGTAGAGCAGTATTATTATCCGATTGACTGTTAACCAGGCTTTCATTTGTCTGTCGATCGACTAAAGTATCTGATCCAGAAGATGAAGAATTCTGATTCAGTGGAGGAGGACTCACTGATGAATGATGCTTTAGGGAATGAGAATTCACAGATACCGAGGATAATTGGGCAGATTTTACAGGATTCACGTCAACCAAGAGACCAGTCGGCACACGACCTAGTTTATATATGCATACATAAATTGTTGAAAGTAAGTAATGTAATGTAGTCGTAGGGATAATTAAAAACAAGAAACTATTTATATAGTAAGATTATTTAGTCTTTAAAGTAGAACACCACATTATTAATGACCAGACAAATTAATATCATAATCGATAGATAATCCACTGTGTTCATTCAACTCAACTTATCCAGAAAATAATACTGAAAGACTATTTACCATATCATAAAGAGTAAATAAATCGATGATCCCAACAAAACACACAAGATCTAAGATATCCCCCGATTGATTATGCAATCTACCACTGCTAGTGCATGCACCTATAATAACATTATGAAGAGAACGAGATAGTGAACTACAATTTGACAAAAAAATGTTTCTCAGGGTGTGCCTAGATATCCTGAATGTAAACAGAATGGTCAGTAATGCGTGATTCAAGGGCGGAATCACCGCCAGCCACGCAGATGGTTAAGGTTCGATTCCCGACCGGTGCAGTGTTCGAGTCTCATTGGTAATACCATCATCAATCACTGGGAATGCAGGTACATTCGGTTGAAGAGTCCCAAACAAGACGAAATGTGCATCCTGGACTGCACTATCAGTCACCATCAACCAAAGATGACATCAACAATAGTTAGGCAATTGAACAATGTTAATCCAAAAAAAAGCTTGTGTGACAAATACCAGCAATATGATGAGACAGGCAGCAATCATCAGGTTTCTATACATAAAGAAACCGTTCCTGTTGTTGACACTGTGGTGCTTAGATCATAAAGCAGTAGTGGTTCATTGCTTTGGAGAGTCGTAAATGTGCTCGCCTTCTCGGTATACTTGAACCACAAGACGAGCAGTATCGCTTCTGTAATGATCATACAGAAATTTGTGAAACATGAGGCATATAACAATTTGTTTCAGTTTACAGATAGAATTAAAGGTTTTAAAATGCATAATAACCTTATAATGTTATTCAGTTCTTCTATTCTTCCCTTGCTTTTTGAGTGGAACGCAGGGCTTCAAGCGTCAGTTTTGAAGTTTCAGCGGCGGTTATGTTTTTTACAGGATGAACTTACTAGCCTCACACTAAACCATCCTTCTTCTCCTGAACTACTTTCGGATGGTAATCTAGCCGAGGTTTAGGATTGCTTCGACCGGGAATCGAACCCCAGAACATATATGGGTGGTTTAAGAGGATTCTACACCCTTGAACCACCGACACACAATCTACCATCCTTATTCAGTAGGCTAGCTAGCGAAATCAATAACTTCAAAGCACACGAAAATCGCAATGTTAACAGTTGCACTTCTGTCTCTAGGCAATATTAACAGTAAGACAACGTCAGAACAATCTCAAAAAGCATTTATTATAACATAGTTATAATACTTTCTATTCACTCGGCTTGTACTGAGTTCATCACATAAAAACAAACTGTACACTTACCCCATCTTTGAGTATTTAAATAGAGCTATGGCACATTAGTTAAGCCACTCAACTACAACTGCCGGATCACGGGTTCGAATCCCTTCCTATCTAGAAGGGTTGGATAGCTAGCTAAATAGTGTCAATTGAATGAAAGTGCAAATAGTTGATGGACAACGTTTTGTTTCTTGTATATTTAAGCGACTCAGTTGACAAACACACCAGGAATATAATAAGGCACGTATATCGTATGATTTCTAAGCACCACTATCCATAGTTGACTAAATATCATTATAGGTTGAAACGACAGCTAACACATTCCTGAATTTTATTCTACCTAACCTTAAACACATCTAACAAGTTCAACTATTCTGTAGAACAGAAACCGTTATGAAAATTGGAATCCATGTTCTAAGGCAATATGCACAGGATCTTTCTTTGCATTGACCAAACACAGCTTATTTTAACATATGAAGAGATCCTCCTCCGTTTCCAACTATAAACTTTTTAAAATGGGCAGTATGTGAAGGTAAATTTTCACATGAAGCATAAACAACTACAGAATCACTGAACAAAGGTTTCGCACTAGTTTGGAACTCTTCAGCAATACTATCGATCAGAGGACGTGTGCACTGCGCAGTAGTTCGCCCTATCCCTCCTTGTAGCTGTTAAACATAGCCTTTGAAAGTGGAATACCTGAAAAGGCTAGCTGTCATTGACCACAGATGTTTGCACTATATCCCTCGTGTTAGTCAGTATAGTATGATGAGTCATATGAACTGTGATCAAGATTTGACCGATTAGTTGCAAAATAATTGGGCGCCGAGTGAGAAGTAGACATTTGTTCGGACCAGATTGCCGAACGAAACGTTGGAATTAATCATTTCAATTTCGTTGAGATTTTACAAATGTCTATAGTATGATGAGGTTAGATATAAAGTGTTAAATAAAGAGAGCGAGTCAATGAATCAGGTTGTCAGGCTACATCAATTGAGGCAGAGCTAGAACGCATCCTACACGCTAAGCCATCGCATCTCTCGTCCAGCAATGTTAGCTGACATAGGATTGCGTTGGAAAAACACTAGGAGTGACGAAACCAAAACCTGCCGTCAATCCATGAAGTCACTGACAGTTGGTTTGAGTCACATAGGGATGATAAGAACACGTGACTTGAGACTGTCAGTGATACGGCTGAAAATTGTTTTCAATGGCACAGATGAATTTACATTTTATAATTTCTTGGATCCACTAAATTCTCATGTTTTCCTATGTTACTATTGTTACTCTCGCCCATTCCTGCTGATTACAGTCATTTAAATTGTTTCGCTCTTATGTTTGTGGGCATCCCTGTTCAAAGTTCTATGGTGAAACTTAGTCGGTCAGTCAGTTAGTCCTCCGTAATAAGCATTCATGGCCATGCAAAGAATAGTACAAATTTACAGAACCCAACTCAAGTTTATATTCAGTAGATGGACAATATGTGAGCATCCATTTACTTGATTTAAAATTTCATAAAAAAATGAGGGCTGGCAATTGCTTCCAATTGTGTTTCACGAGGCGAATTAGAAAGGTAGATGTGTGTAGAACACGAAGTCTGACACATCGATTCAAGCCATTATACTCATTAGCATATCGATGGGAATAGTTAACCGATAGAAGAAATAGGAATCAAAACATAAACAGTCTTACTAAGTTTTCAGAAAGAAAGATATAAGTCAAAAAAAATGTTCATAAGAATATCGGCAGAACATCAGTGAATACAATTGCAACAAGTCAGAAAGGCTTCACTCCATATACAATGACTGACTGACTGGTTTCAACATAGAACTCTGCACCGATGTGCAGCAGTTCGACTCGCTACACTTCACTCAGCATACAAAACAAGAGAAGGAAGTAAAAAGGAATGCAAAATAGAGATAGTAAACAAAGATGTGAGCCAAAACAGAATAGTAATATCGAAGAACCAGATAGTTTTATTGAATATTATGAGTCACAAGGAGCGGATGCATCTATACCAGCCATTGAGAACGATTTTGAGCCATAGCACCGATTGTCTCCAGCCTTGATTGGTTTTTACCATCCCGAGGATTCCAACCAATCAGGAGGTCTACACCTTCCTACGTGTCTGGCTTAAACTAATTGTTGTGGATTTCGTTGACTGATGAAACCATGTTTTCGTTTGACCTGATCAGTCCTTTTCCAGCTAACATTGCTTGTTGTCGAGGAAGGCGATGGGTAGACATCATCAGTCACAGATAAACAACTTGTTCTGATGTAGGTATAGTGATATTTATTTCAGTTTATCCGTCATGTAGTTGAAATAATGTGTTGAGTTAAATGTGATACTGACATATTTAAAGAAAAGCAACCGCGAATTCAAGCCTCATCATTTGACCGAAATGTTTCACTTGAAACTACACGCGTAACTTTGTGCACTTTTCACACAGGCATGCAACCACCTTTTAGGTGGCGATGTTGAGAACATGATGATAGTTGGATACCACAATTCTTTTACTAAAATCGTTTAAAATTCCTGGACATTTTTCAAGGAAATAAAGCGGGATAAAGAACAGTAATATCCAGTATATATTCAAAGCCTTAAGGGAGGATCCAAATAATCTACTAACACTTCTAGGTTTTCAAGTATTGGTTTTGTAGGGAATTTGTTTGATTGCATGGAGGATTTCATCATGGGCTGACATCAGTTAGAGAACCACTGGACGAAACAGCTGTTCAGTACTCCCAGGTTTTCTAGTGGTTCTCTAACTGATGTCAGCTCATGATGAAAACTTCTAGGTTTAACAAAAGCTGACTAAGTTTCCTTTCTACGCCTAGAGTTTATCCTGCAAAGCGTAGTGTAACAGTGAAAATTTTAATTTGTTTCGCACCTAACCACTAGATCAGTTATTGGTGCATATTAACCCTACAGTAGAAATTTACCTTTGGGGAGTGATGGGAAGATTCCAAATCATCTCAAAATGTCATTTAAAGTGTACAAAAAAGGCATATTCGAACGTTTTATAGGCGTATTTACCAAATCAGACTGTCTTTTGTGTATTCTAACTTTGTTAAAGAGGTTTCGGCAAGACAATTCTGGCTTTATAGTGGGTTTTTTTAAGCTAACAGTAATAGCTTTATTCTGGACAATGTTAGTAAAATGTACAGAATTTTCAGTGGAGTTTATTACATGATATTTTCTCTTCGTCTGGGATCTTCAAATAAAAGATTAATTGACTGACAGTAGATCGTGTGACATAGTTCTATCCGACCTGAAGCGGAAACCAATCCACCATTATGATATCTCTTCCTTTTCCCCTTCGAGAAATACACGACACGAACCTAGGACACCACTGAGGAACGGTCAGCTCATGTATTGGGATTAGCTGCCATCGAGGACAATGTTTCTTCTCATGTTTAGGAGAAACATGCGAGTCAGAATGTTGTAAATATTTTAAATACTCTCCAGAGTAAACAATACTTTTTGAGGTCATACTTTAGTAGAAATTACATGCAATATATAGATAGAGGTTATCGGTAGCCCAAGTTTTAAGTGGGCCGCTTATCTACATTAATTTTACAG